GGCTGAGTATCAAACATTATGTTTTATTTTAGGGTTTTAGAAAGCTGAGATCTGAGACCTCTTTGAAATTGCTTTTCCTCATTGAGTAAATGGCCTCCATTGCCTCGTCTCAAACCATCTGCTTTCTCCATCTAAAATGTGAACATTTCCGTCCACTAAAGAGTGTCCCTTATGCTTGAGGTACATGAAACAAATCTTCAGATTTAGTCAGAGGCAAACTGAAACCAGACACTACAGAGCACAAGCCAGTGTCTCTCTCTTGCCAGTCCCAAGCCTGGCTAAACAGTGAGAGTGGCATCAGGAAAGGCATCCGGTACAAGACACTTTTGCCAAGACAAACATGCGAGTTCATTTAAGTGACACCACACCGGACCAGTCAAGGCCCTGGTCAACAACAACCACTCCAGACATTGTGTTGCTGTTAGTCAAAAACCACAAGGAGGGAAATGTTCCAGAAGACACAGGGAGAGGAGAAAAGTCAAGAGTGCAGGACTGAAGGGTAACTCTAAACGTAGGGACAAATGACAGACAACGGTAGAGCTGGCTCACAGGGTGCAGAGAAAGAGGGTAAATGTTTTATCTGTGCTAGAAACCAAGTGGAAGAGTTGCAGCATTGACGCAGGGTTTAAGCTGTTTTACCAGGGTGTGGAAGAGAAATGGAGTCGAGGTGAAAAAGAGTCAGCTAGGATGATGTGAAAAGGTCCGATGCTGATGTTGTCAGTGGTTCTGCTCCACAGGTTGGATGTGAGGTCGAGGAGAAATTCTGGAAGGATCTAGAGCAGGGGTGCCCAAACATTTTCCCCGAGAGGGTCAAAACGAAAATCTATCTGGGGCTGCGGGCCAAATGCAGAAATATAATACATGAAATATAAATACTTTTTAATTAAAGTCCTTTATTTTTAATGATTAAGCTAGTGGTCCACTTTTGTTTTAGTCTGTGCACTTGTAGAAAGTCTGCCATGTGCTCAAGTAGCAAAGGCTCATGAGACATTTCATAACTTGATAAAATATAAGTTTTTTAAAGTTTTTTTTTAATATGTCAAAGATAAAGTCAGCACCATGAATAAAAACTATTTGCCCTACAACCCCTTATAAAGTCACTTGGCCAATGGATGAAAGGGCTGTTTGATGGAAATACTGTTTCTACATAATATGACAGGTTACAACCTAGCAAATATGTCAATTTTTGGTGGGCCAAATCAAATGGATTGGTGGGCCAAATTTGGCCCACTTTAGTCTCCTCTGATCTAAAGGAAATGGTAGAGTGCTCCCTGGGAGGAGACCTGTTGGTGAAGKAAACAGAGGAGATGAGGAAGGGATGGACAGATTTGGTGTTAAGGAAAGGAACCATTAAGGACAGGTAATGGAGGAGTTTGCCAAGAGGATGGAAATGACTGTAGTCAACATGCACTCAACAAAACATGGAGGAACAACTATAGTATAGGATTGGAGGCAGAAGTACACAGATATTCTCTGTGTGGAAATGGTAATCTGAGGGAGATTGGAGACTGGAAGGTTGTGGGTGACAATGTGGCCAGACAATATTGAATGAAAGATTCCTTTTCAAGATTTCCTCAAGTTTGTTTTGTACTTATTAGGTGTTTATAATTATCACAATTTTAAGATTTTTAGGTTTTTATTTTGACAATCCTTGACAATCAGCTCTTTCACAAGAGGTTCCCCAGAATAATACAGTCAGTTTTATGAGAAAACAAAAAAGAAAAAAAGATCTGGGGTCGGATTTATAAAACTGGCGTACGCACAATTTGAGCCCAGAAACTTGCGTACGCCACTTTTTACGCCAAGGTTGTGATTTATAAAATCCAAACTTGACGTGAAAATGTGCGGTGCCTCACGCCAGCTCTGACCCATGCGTACGC